CTTTATATAAATAAATATTTATTATTATATTAAGTATTATTATTAAATTCTATATTTTATTATAAGTAATTAAAGAGGCTATATAGCTAAAGAAATTAATTATTACTATAAAGATTAAAAAGAAAGGCCTTATTCTTATTTATACTAATTTATTTAATATTATAGATATTCTTAAGAAGAATAGTTTTAATATAATAATTAAATAAATTAATAATTATTACTTTTTTATTTATAATATAATTTATAAGGGGCTAATTAAGGTTAAATAGATAAGTGGTTATATAAATCTTATTAATAGTTTAATAAAGCCTCTAGATTAAGTAAAGTATATTATATTTAAAGAACTAGTTAATCTTTAGAAAGTAGTAATATTAACCTATATTAAGAATAAAATTAGATAAGGAATAATTAATAATTAATAAGTAAATAATCCTCTTTTTTTTTCTGCTATTATATGCTTTAATTAATATTAAATAAGAGGTTAACTAGTCTAAATAGGTGCTTAGTAATAAGGGGTATATTAGAGGTGTATATCTAATTAAGCTTAGTATTACCTTATTTAGTGCGGCTACACTATATAACCACCTGCTTTATATCTAAGCTATAGCAGCAATAGTAACTATTAGCCATCTCTTCCCTTTTCTAGGCCTGCTAGGCCAACATAATATAAATAATATGCAAAAGACTACTTCTATATTAATATAAGTTAATAATTTTAAAGAAGAGTAATTTAAGAGTATAATTATTAAATAAAATTTATTACTAATAATTAACTATTTATTTTAAGTAAAATAAAATAAAAAAGCTTTTATAAGACTAGTACTATTAGCTTAATTAAATAAATAATATAAATTAATATATTAAGAATTATCTTATTTATCTTTAATACTAAGAATAAAAATTAAATAACAAAAGATAAAGATAAAGATTGAATAACTATAAAAGATATAGAAATTTATAAGAAAGAATATAACAGAAGCTTAAAAATATTAAAAAATATAAATAAGTAAATATATAAAAGAAGTTAACTTTGATATTAATAATAAAATCTTTTTGATGATAAAAAATTATAAGATAAATAAAGTAAATAAAATATTGAAATATTAAATATTCACTCTTTTTTTATTAAGAAAAAAGAGAATAAAAATTTTTATTTAAAGCTTTTAAACTTAATAAATTTTTATTTAATTATATTCTTTAATAAGCTATAAAAGATATTAAATAATTTTTTATTAAAATAAATTATTAATCTATAAAGATTCTTAATTATAAATAGCTAAAAAAGATAAGAATTAAATAGTATATAACTAATATATAGTAATTATAATAAGTTATAATATTAACTTAATTAATTAAAATATGTCAGGCACGGATGGCCTGGAGAAAGCGGAAGAGATATGTGTGTAGATAGATGATAGTGGTGGTGAAGCTATCTAGGACGCGCGCAGGCGAGAGAGAGAGAAAAGGCAAGCAGGATGGCGCTAAGCCTAACTAGGTAGACACCTCCAACAAAATATAATTTAAATAATAAATAATATTTAGTTAAAAACTGTATAAAAAGCTCATATTTTTTAAAGAAGTTTTATAAAAAATATTTTTATAAATTAGGTTTATTAAAAGACCTAAAGGAGTAACTTATAATCTTAAAAATAAGTAAAAACTTTAAGAAAAATAATAATAATAATATATTAATTAAAAATATAAAAAAAGATAGACTTTTTAAAAAAAATAAATAAATAATCTTTTCTAAATAATATCTAAATAAAATAATTTATGAAATATTATTAAAATATTTTTAAACAAACTCCTTTTAAGAATAAAAGAGGCTTGATAAAGTAGAATTATACTTAATAAACTATAATATAAAATAAAGTATTAAAAAAGCTATAATACCCTTATTAATATATAAATATTGAATATAGATTTACAGAAAAATTAAAGGTGAAATAAAAAAGTAATATAATAATAATATTATTATCTAGTTATTTAAATATCCTAGATAATCTTCATTAAATAAAGATTTTATTTTTATTTTAATTTAGTATAAGAAAAGGGAGAGGGATATTAAGTATATCTTATAATATATATCTCTCTCCTCTCCTCTTTCCCCTCTTTATTTAAATATTCTAGTATTAAAGCCACTAATTAATTATTTATTTGCTTAGGGCCATCATAGCTATAGAAGTATAATAGTAATATAATTAATTATAATAAATTATAATTATAAAAAATTATAAGTTTATTATAATTATTTTAAACCTAGCTATAATATACATGACTATACAAAAATACTTATTTTCTAGTATATTTAGTTTTTATAATTCTTAAATATTAATTAAAGTACTAATCTAATTTATAAGACTCTTTTACTTATTTTTATATATAATAATAAGGGCCTTTCTTCTTTTTTACTTAATTATCCTTATTGAGTACTAAAAAGGTTAGTATATACCTACTCTAATCTAGATAAAGTAAACTGAAGTCCAGTAGTTACTAATAAACTAGGTCCCTAATCTTATTTAAGCTGATTAGTGATATCTAGAGATCCTAGGGTTATAAAAAGTTAGCACGCCATAGGGGGTTATTTAATAATAAATTGTAAGAACCAGCACCTGGGGACGCTAGCCCACACGACCAAAAGGTCAACATTAGTCGCGATTAATCAATCGCGGCCCCCAGGGCCCCATATAGTACTCTTGGGTATCTCTTAGGGGTATATAAGCGCAGATCCTTCCATAACTATATTATTAATTTCTATATATCCATTATTTAGATCTATACAATCATGATCTTATATCTAGTATATGATTGCCTATATTTAGCCCTAAAAGTTATCTAGTTCATTAATTTAATCTATCTATATCACTACCCCCATATAGGGATAATAATTCATATCCTATTAATATGAACCTTATATTTATTGAAGGACCACATGAATTATATTTTCAATCAATAGGTAGCGAATATTAAACTCCATGAAATTAATATAATAGGAGTAAAGGGGATATATTACCACCACCTTGCACTTGCTGTAAGGAATGGGGGAAAACTGAAGATTAATCTATATTTTCATATTTCCTGACACCGGACAAATTCAAGGCCCAATTATCCTCACTAATTCAAGTGTTGGTCACTAACTTCTTTCAACTTGCTTAGCGGAACCTGTAGTTTTCAGTAAAGTTCTCAGCCGGGACTCCAGGTATTACCATACAATACTAGATCCTACCTAGTATGCAGATTAACTAACAATTTCTACTCTGTACTATTCCACCACATTACCAAATAAGCAGCAGCCTATTTAACTTAGATTTCATATGACTAATCAAAATGACCACGATTTGTTTCCCGAAAATTTCGAGCCCCATCCCTAAGTCTTGCTACCTATGAATACTGATGCTGATTCACTCTGTAAGCAGAGGACTATAAATCTAATTAAAGCAATCGCTCCCGCGTCGCATAATAATCAGGCTTCCCTAGGCCAAGCAAGGATCACCAGCTCTTTAGTATAAAACAATATTATTACCCTAGCTTATTATATGTTTTAATTCTGGGGCTCTTATATTAAGATCTTGGTATTCACCTTATCAGAAAAGTTCAGGGTTGTTGGCACACATTGAATATCACCAAATTATCTGGAGACCACTGGAAACGTTTCATTTCATCATAGAACCTTATACATAATCAACGGCATGCCAGCTTCGCCAAAACAGAGGAAAATTGCCATTGTCGGCAGCAGATCCGTCGGTAAGAACTCCCAGTTGATAAACTTATGACCTCACCTTCAATATGCCCTCTGTACTTGAGTTCTCTGACTGTATCATATCTAACTGATTGGAAACAGGTAAATCATCTCTCACTGTTCGCTTTGTTGAACACCACTTTGTTGAGAGTTATTATCCAACAATCGAGAACACATTTAGCAAGATCATAAAACATAAAGGTCAAGACTTTGCAACGGAGATTGTTGATACAGCTGGTCAAGTATGTGATGCCCAGATACTACTAGTTTTGCTATACTAATACTATGGCAGGATGAATACAGCATTCTTAACTCCAAACATTTCATCGGGATCCATGGATATATCATTGTTTACTCAGTAGCCTCACATCAGTCTCTTGAAATGGTGAGGGTTATTCGTGATAAGATTCTGAATCATTTAGTAAGTCCTATCAACTGAATCCTCATAGCTTTATGTTAACTGAATCGTCTAGGGAGCTGATCAGGTCCCCCTTGTAGTAGTTGGCAACAAGAGTGATCTAAAAGCAGAGCAACGACAGGTTTCTCTGGACGAAGGGCGCTCCTTGGCGGACGAATTTTCTTGCGCTTTCACCGAGGCCAGTGCTCGACTAGATCACAATGTTGCCAGGGCATTTGATCTTATGATCGGTGAAATCGAGAAGTCTCAGAATCCGTCGCAGCCTCCAGGAGGTAATAAATGTGTCCTTATGTGATTTTCTGTGGAGACGACAGGGGATGTGAAAATACTGCATAACCAATAAAGGATAGTCGTATCTCTGGCATTGGCGTGCTTTAATGTACTGGTCATATTGAGTAACTGGCCTCTCAAGGTCCTATGGAGGTACTTAACATCAATCTATTTTTATATATTAAAGGATTACACTGTGGATTTACCCAGGTAAGTTCGGAATATCTATCATAATAGTTGTTTCACATTAAGGAGATTGAAACATGTTTAAAATAAGGCGACGCACTGTGTAGTATACAAGAGCAGCCCCGGGGACTTAATATCGCCTCCCTGATTTAGCAATATCATCCCCTAGTAAAGGGAGGAATTTCCTATTTTATGTTTGAGGTATTTGGTAGAGCATGGTAGGGATTTTCTAATTTAAGCCTTTGAAAATAATTGTTGGGCGACTAAGAAATAAGAGTGATAAATATTGAACTAACCAGCCAGCCCTTTATAATCTGATAGTACCCCTGCCTATAGATTCAGTAGGGAGTTTGGTAGAAACTTTTGGTTTTCTTATATAACTAACTTACTACTTCTAATTCATTAATCAGAAACGTAAGTAATAATATGGTTTTTGATTGGATTATATTTATTATTTATATAATGTCTTATTAGTATTGTAAAATAGAAAAGAGATAGTAAGATTTAGAAGGTTATTAAATTATCTTATATAGTATACACTATAGAGGCGTGGGTTAAAAGTGTTATATAGTATTAATATTATAAAGACTTTATAAATAAAGGCCCTTAATTAGTTATATAAGGGCTATAAGATTATATTAAATTATATAATAATATATTAATAATAGATTAAGAATATATAAGCTCTTAATAATATAAAGATAAAGAAGAAGAGTTAATTATAATATTAATTTACTATTAAGCTAGGTATAACTATTAATAAAGCTATAAATTTAATAGAAGCTTATAATATAGTTATAGTAATATTAGTAATAGTGATGATAATAGTAATATTAATATAGGGGCCCTAATAGTGCTCTAATTATCATAAGCCTGGCCATAAATATAATTAATGCCCTAAGTAATTAATTCCTAATTAATTAGGCCTATATAGGTTTAAATTTAATAATAATTGGCGTTAGGCGTCATCTCTATAGGATGGCTGATTTTTTTTGATGGGGGCCGGGCGGCTGGGTGGGGGTGGGCGGCTCGGTGCCGAATTACGTTACTGCTTTCTAGCAGTATATTCAGTTAGGTGATATATATAGCCCCACCAATATCACAATAGTACTTATTAAATATATTAATAACTTCAAAGATATATTCTATTACTATTATTTATATAATTAGCTATAATAATATCTCTTGTATTAATCAAATTTATAATAAAATTACTAATATTATATTATATATATTTACTTTTTATATTTATTTATAATCTAATTATTTTCTTATTGACTAAAGCTTTAGGGATATTATTCAATATATTCAATTTAAATCTTTATTTAACCATAAATATTATAGAATTTATTATTAATAGTTAAGATTTATATATTATATTTATTTTAATCTTTAAAAACTATCATTAAGCTATTTACTATCTTATATATTAAGCTTCTATTAATAATATATTTATAATATTTTTTTTCTTTAATATTAATAACTCATAGTATAATATTAATATTTTAGAGACTATTCTATAGGCTATATATTTATAATTGAATAATAAAAGCTTATAATATTATAATTATCATTATTATAGAATATATACTTATTACTTATACAAGCCTTGAACCTCACAATCATGCGAGGGAGGATTGACGGAGACGACGGAGGCCAGAGGTAGAGGAAAAACTGATGGGAGAACTGCAGGAACTAAAAACAGCAGAATCATGCTACCCTAAACTGCAACATGGTGCATGGCTATATATATACATGATTTTATAATTAATTATTAAGCTATTTCAAAAATTAATTATATAGCTTTATATTTTTTACTAAGTTATTTTTATAAATTATATTATTATTATCATTATTTAATCTTAAGTATTTAATATTAATAACCTTTATAATAAGTATTTAATTACTCTTTACTTGATTAATCTTATCCTTAATTTTATTATAATACTAGAAGAAATGCTTTTTAATTATATTAGTCATATTTAAATATTTATTAATTATATCTTTAATCTTCTTAACTTAAATAGAGAGTTTATATTTTTTTTAGTTATAAGGATAATAATTATTATATAAGGTCTTATAGAGGTTTTATATAAAGATTAATAATATTATAATTCTTAATAAAATTCTAAATAGATTTATTAGTTATTAAATAATTAAATTAATATATTTTAATTAATCTTTTAAAGTTATAAAAGGCCTAGTAAGTAGTTATTTTTAATATTAATTAAAATAATATAATAAAAATTATTGATATATATTTATAATAATATAAATATTTTATTCTTATTTTAAATATTCTTATTAATTAATAGTGCTAGATAAAGCTTTATATATTAGAATATATAATTTTATTTATTAAATTTATATAAATTCTTTATTAGTCTAGATATATCTTTATAAATAATATTCTTTAAATTATTAATTTTAAAAACTTATTAAATATTATTCTCTTAATATTGATAATTTTCTCTTTATTTTATAACTTTTTAATAGTATCTAAAATAAGTTAATTATCTATATTTTTATTAATTTTGTTAATATCTTTTATTATTAATTTAATTATTATTTATTAAGTAAACCCTTAATTAGTTCTATCCTTATTATATAATAGGCTTATTAATATTTAATTTATTTAATAGATAAGTATAAATCTTTAAATTTAATTACTATTAATTTTTTAAATACATTAACCCTAAGGGAACTACTTATATTATTTATATTATCTATTACTTTATAAATTTTAATATTATTTATATATAATCTTAAATAAATAAGAATTTATTAAGTATAGTATATATTATCCTTTAGAATAATATACTACTAGATTAGCCTAATAGGCCTAAAAAGAGAAGGGATAGCTAATAATTACTATTATTATATTAGCTTAAATATAAAGTAGGTAATTATATAGTATAAGGCATTAAATCAGGTAATACTAGGCCTAATTAAATATATACCTCTACTATATTATTAAAGATTTTATTAAAATATTATTATAATAAATATACTATTATTAATAATTTTATTATCTTAACTTAATTTTTAATATTATAGATTTCTACATTTAACTATTTTATAATAAAGGTTTTGAAAAGATATAAAGATTATTTAATAAAATAATTTTAAATTATAAATACTCTTTCTAAATAACTCAATTAATATTAATAATTATATTAGTACTTAATCGATTTATATTTTTTATTTATATATTTATATTATTATAAAATTAAGATTATATAATATTAATATTTATTGGCTAAGCAGGCCTAAAAAAAAGAAGAGATAATTAATAATTATTATTACTACTATAGCTTAAATATAAAGTAAATAATTATATAGTATAGCTCTATTAAAGAAGATAACACTAAAAGCCTTTAATTAAATATCTTTAAATATCTTGAAGATCTCTATTATCTTAGTACTTACCTTATTTTCTATCTTAATAAGATAAATATTAAGGATTTAATACTCATTATTTATTATTATTATTTAGGCTTATTAGTTTTATAGATTATGAATTTATAGTACATGTATCTATCTCATTAGGCTTGATATTATTCTACTTATCTTTTCTCTCTTACCTATATGCATCTTAAATACCTTTATTATATATATATCTCTCTCTTCTACTTTCTTTAGGCCTTCTATGGCTAATATAATATAATATTCATTATTAATAAATAATAAGATAATGATTCTTATAATAATAGTAATAATAAAGATCAATAATTCAGTTTATTAAGCGTCATATTGGGCTTATTACTATGACACTAGCCACCTAGTGGTCTCAGCAGGCAGAACGGTTGGCAGAAAACTACTAAATATAGATTATAGAAGTAGAAGACTAACTTATATGTTATATAATTATAAATATAGCTATAAATATATTATAGTAGGATTATAGATATACTATAGAAGGACTATATAAGAATAATTATTTATTATCATATTTACTTCTTTATAATTCTTATAAATGATAAGTACTTAAAGTACTAGTTTAATTAAATAGACTTATTAAGTTATTCTTATATATAGAAGTAAGGAACTTACTTCTCTTTTACTTGATTAATTCTACTTACTATTAAAGGAATTAGTATATAGCTATTTTTACCTAAATAAAATATACTTAAATCAAGTGATTATTGATAGACTAGGTCTTTAATCTTATTTAAGCTAATTAATAATATATAAAGATTTTAAGATTAATAATAAAAGAATTACCCCTCTTAAATTAATACTAATAATTAAAGGATATATAATAAATAATAATAGCTAATAATAATAATAATAGTATTAAAGTTATTAAGATTATAAATACTATTATTAAACTTAAGAATAATATATTAAAAGAAGAGCTTAATAAAATATTAAGATAACTTTAAGAAATAATTATAAAACTTAAGTAAAAGATTATTTAATAAAGTTATATAAAAAGAATTAAGGTTTATATATTTAAATTATTCAATGATATATATAAGTATTTAAACCTCTTTTTAGTCTAAATAAATATATATTTATTTATATATATAAGTTAGTTCTTAAAAAAAGAAGATAAAGTTTTATTTATATTTATATATTTGAAAAAAGGTTATATTTAAATAATTTAATTCTTTTTTATAAGACTAAAAAGATAATGATAATAATAATTATAATAATAATAATAATATCAAGGAAATCTTTAAAAATTATATTTAATCAAAATAATACTTATAATTAATCTTTAAAGATATTAATATAGTATAAAATATAAAAAAAAAGATTTTTAACTTAAGATAGACTAAAGTAATAAATAAATACTTTTTAAAGATATAATAGCTTATTATATATTTAAAATAAAATAATATTAATTTAATTAGTTAGACTAAAAAATACTTGAAGGTGGAAATCTAAGAAAGATTAATTTAA